TGCATGTCATAATGCTCTCTGTCTCTTGTTTGGTCAAAAATTCTTCCCTTCTCCATTGATCTGACAGATAAACCAGTCCTTGCTCTCATACCATTTGCTTGTGGTGTCATTCTTTATGTCTAAATCATGTTTCATCATGAGGCCTTTGGAGCTGGGGTTGGTTCCGTTGTGTTTATGTCTTTCACCGTGAACTATCTGTACAATGTTGCTTTTGCTGTGTGAATTGTTCTCCTGGTTCTCCTCAGTTCACTTTGCATCAGTTCATACAAGTTTTTCCAGGTTTCTCTGAAACCCTCCCTTTCATCATTTCTTGTAGCACAGTAATATTCCACCACAGTCATATCCTGCAGCTTGTTCAGCCATTCCCCAACTGATGGCCATCCTCTCAGTTTCTGCTTCTTTGCCACCACACAAAGAGCTGCTATAAATATTTTTGTCCATGTGGGTATTTTTCTTCTTTCTTTGATCTCTGTATGATAGGACTCTGGGGTCAAAGGTATGCATATGTTAGAGCCGTTTGAGTGTAGTTTCAAATTGCTTTCCATCAGCAGCGTAGTAGTGTACGTGTACCTGTCGTCCCACTTCGCCTCTAGCATTTGTCATTTTCCTTTTCTGTCATCTTAGCCGATCCGATGGGTGTGCCGTGGTTCCTCAGAGTTGTTTTAATTTGCATTTCTCTAGTGAGGATTAGGAGCATTTTTTTAATATGACGGTTGATAGCTTGGATTTCTTCCTCGGTAAACTGCCTATTCATGTCCTTTCACCATTTATCAATTGGGAATGGCTCTGTTTCTTGTGAATAGGAATGGATTTTAGAAATCGTTTTTGGTGCTTGTAAACTTGGCAGTGAGATTACTGATGATTCTTGTGTTCTAGAAATAATGACGTCATATAAATTTTTATAGGTGGCTTATAGATAGACATGCGAAGAAGGGGGAAGCTTGTACTTCATGTCCATTGTAGTTTCCTGATTCTTTTTGTCTTAAATATTCGATACGTCACGTGCCTGACTGTTACGCTTAGTAGGCTGAACTCTGAAGTTTCCCCCTTCTTGTCAAGTGTATAGGAGAGGGTCAGTCAGTCAGTAGACATGTATTAGCTGCCTGCTGTGTGCCAGGTACCGTACTAAGTGCTGAGGCTACAAGGAAGGTGAGAGCCCCTGCCCTCCAGGAGCTCCTGATGTACCTGGAGGAAGCCAGGACACAGAAGGAAAGAATTGGGGGGGGGGGCGCGGTGCCGGGAGCGCCCTTTGCAGGGGCTGAGGGAGTCCTGCGGCCAGGCAGGGCATGATGAGCGGTCTGCCCTGGGTGCCCTCCCAGGCTGGAGGTGCTGCTGAGGAGCAGAGGAGTTTCCGAGCTGGTTTGACCCTGCAGGTGAACAGCCAGGTAGGAGATGATGAGTTGTTTCTTCTGGCAGGGGCTGGACTAGACTACCTCAGAGCTCCCTTCGGCCTCTCTCTCTGCCTTCCTCCTCCTCCTCCTCCTCTTTGTCCTCACTGTGGGCTGCAGGCATTCTCCCAGGCCATCCCTGAGCTTGACTTTTGCCCCTGACGTTGACCAGGCCGTCTAGCTCTATGCTCTTTTCCACCCTTGAACTCTTCCGTCTTGTTCGTGCTGTGCCAGTGCTCCATCCCAGAGTACCTCCTGCCCCCCCGTGTCACTGCGCCATTGTCCACTCTCTGACCGGTCCTGCTGCTCTGCACTGGCCCTTGGATGCTTCCCTGAGTCCGATCAGGCGATTATCGAGTACCGACTCTGTGCGAGCCGCTGGGGACTAGACAGGAAGGGAGGCGGCCCCTCCCCGAACAGTACCCAGTGTAGGGGACGACTGCGCCGCGTTCTGGGGTCCGTGGCAGGTTCCAGAGCTGCTTACTGTTCGAAAAGATGGTTTTCACTCAGACCCTTAGAATCCTTCCTGGATTAGTATAAAAACCTCCAGTTGGTCTGACTTTCATCTCTCCCCTTTCCAATCCATTTCCTTTTCTTTTCTTTACCTTTAATTCTTTTTAAACTTTTTGAATTTAAACACCAAGGAAAACAAACATTTCTGTATATGTAATAGAACATAAAAAGAGGACTGCCTGTGAAACTGCAGGTCTCTGCTGTGTGCAGCCTGCCTTCCTTTCTAAATATAAACTCAAATCACTATGTGACTCTGAAAGCTTCCCTGCTCCCTCACTGCCCCCCGCCCTGGTCCAAGCCGCAGTCTCGTCCTGCCTGGACTCTTGCAATAGCTGCTGGTGGGTGGGCCTGCCTCATGCTTCTCCCTGCCTGGCCGAATGACGTTCCTAAAGCAAACCTGGAACCTTGTGTCGTTCCCTCAATAGAGTGCCGGGGAGGTGACTCACTGGGGTCGAGTGCCAGGCCTGGAGTCAGGAAGACCTGAGTTCAAACGCAGCCTCAGTTCCTTCCTAGCTGTGTGACCCTGGGCAAGTCATCGACCTCTGTTTGCTTCAGGTCTTCTGTAAAGCTGCAAACAGTGAACAGCGGTGTCTGCCTCGCTGGTATGGTCGTGCAGGGTCAAATGATGCAGTAACTGCAAAGTGCTTGGCGTGTAGTAGGTACTATGTACATGTTAGCTGTTATTAGTAATTGCCAGATCTTTCAAAAAAGTTTCAGATAATTAACTTTTCTACTAAATTACATGTGAGGACAATTTTAAATATTTATGTTTTAAAAGAAGTTTTACTTCCAAATTTTCTTCGTCCCTCCTTCACCTCCCCCCTCCCTGAGACAGTAAGCAATTTGATACAGTTTATGCATGTGCAGTCATGCTAAACATATTACCACATTAGTTGTGTTGTGAAAGAAGACAGACACAAGGGGCAAAGAAAACCAAGAAAAAATGAAGAAAGGGGAAAAGAGCGTGCTTCGATCTTCATTCAGACCCCGTCGTTCTTCCTTTGGAGGCAGAGAACGTGTTCCTTCACGAGTCCTTCAGAATCATCGTGGTCCATCGTGTGGCTGAGAAGAGCCGAGCCGTCCACAGTGGCTCTTCATACATTAATTGCCTTTCAGTGGACTTTTCTCAATCCTCCCCCTTCTCCACCTTTCTGCGGCCTTTTCTCCTGGACGTGCTCCCTCTCCAGGCGTTTTTATGATGACCCGTCTGGGCCTCGTCAGTCTCCTGTGCTGGATCTTCCTGCAGGTCACTTTGCACTAACCGTATCTCGATGATCTCATCCGCTCTTATGGGTTCAGTTGCCATCTCTGTGCAGATGTTTTTCGGATCTGCTCATCCGGCCCTAACGTCTCTCCAGACTGCTCGGCTGCCATCACCAGTTGCCTCTTGGGCAGCTTGTGGTGCAGTGGGTGTGGAGTGCCGGGCCTGGAGTCAGGAAGACTCCTCTTCTGAGTTCGACTCCAGCCTCAGACTCTTACTGGCCGTGTGACCTTGGGCAAGTCACGTCACCCTGTTTGCCTCAGTTTCCTCATCTGTCAGATGAGCTGGAGCAGGAGGAGATGGCCGACCACTCCAGTGTCTCTGCCAAGAGAACCCCCAGTGGGGCCATGGAGAGTCACAGACAGGGCTGGGCAGCAACAACAACGTTGAACTGGATTTCCCACAGACGTCTCAAACTCAGCGTTAAAAATGACCTCTTCCTCCTTCTCCTTTAAGCCCCCCCGGCTTGCAGCCTGGGTTCGTCCTTGACTCCTATCACGCGTATCTGTTCTCTTGACAGATTTTGTCATTTCTTCTGTCCCCACGTCTGGTGTCGCCCGGTCTCTCGGCCACTGCCTCGGCACAGGCCCTTGGCCCTGCCTATCTGGACTGTCGCCTGCCGGTTGGCCCCCTTGGCTCGAGTCTCTCCCCACCCCCGTCTGTCATCCATTCAACCACTGAAGTGATCTTCCTAGAGCTCAGGTCTGACCACAGCACCTCTCCACTCACTGAACTCCAAGGGCTTCCTGTGGCCTCCGGGCTCCAGCAGAAAGCGCTCTCCGAGTGCCCTCCTGCTCTTCTTACCCTTGACTTGCCACGCGCTCCGCAGTGTGGGGACGCTGGCCTCGCACACAAGACCCCCTCTCTCATCTCTGTGCTTTTTCCTGGCTGTCGCCCCTGCCCAGGACGCTCTTCCTCTTCACTTCTGCCTCCAGGCTCCTGCCTCTCCCAGTCTCTTCCCCGGTGGTCCCCTCCAGCTCCCAGCTCTTTCCCTCGGACGTTCGCTCCCATGTGCGCTGGAGATATCTTGTGTGTATGTGGTTGTTGGCGTGTTATTTCCTCCATTGAAATGGGAGCTCCTGGGGAGCAGGGACGGTCGGGAGCTCTTTTTCACTCTCTTCGTGTCCTTTGTACCTGACGCGCTGGAAGCTCCTCAGTGCTTGCTGACGGACGGACCGACTCTTCTCAATGCTCTCCTCCGTCTCTTCCCGTTCTTGGTGTGTGGCGTGTACTGGCTTCTCATCGGAGTCCTTCTCAGGCGCCTTCGGCGATGAGCTCATCCGCACACTGTTAATGATCTTTTCTCTCCCCAAGCTGTGGCTCAGTTTTTTCAGTGGTGTTCAACTTTTCATGGCCCCATTTGGGGTTTTCTTGGCAAAGATACTAGAGTGGTTTGCCATTTCCTTTTCCAGCTCATTTTAGGTGAGGAAACTGAGGCAAACAGGATGAAGTGGCTTGTCCAGGGTCACAGAGCTAGGAAGTTCTGAGGCTGGATTTGAACGCAGAAGATGAGTCTTCCTGATTCCGGTGCTCTAGCCATTGTACCATCTGACTGCCCTCCTCAAGTTACCTTGGATGTAAATATAAATACCTCTGTACAGGCTGTGCCCCGCCTCGTCCCCTGTCTCTCCAGTAGAATATAAGCCACTTCACTGGTTTTGTCTCCCTAGTACAGTTTCCGTCAGAGAGTAGACAATTATATACTCTTCTAACTTGAATAAAAATGGCTTCTGGAAAAAGAAAGTTAATTTTATTTCAAATATAGACAACAAAATGGAGTGAGTCAGCTTAAACGCTGGAGGAAGAAGCTTACTCATAATTTCTGTGTTCTCTTTCAGGGTTAAGACTTGATGATAACTCTCAATTAAAAGAATCACTAAACATTCAAGAAAGCAAAATGGGGACCCCTGGTTCTGGAAGGAAGAGAACTCCAGTAAAAGATCGATTCTCTGCAGAAGATGAAGCTTTGAGCAACATAGCTCGAGAGGTTTGTGAATTTAAAATCCTTACCAATGTACTGTCACACAAACAGGGTTGTTGTGTTGGGAAAACTGGAATGTGTTTTCCCCTGGACAAAGACCCTGAGAGCTGACGGATGGCTCCAAACGCAGGCCTTTTGCAGCAAACGCATATTGCTTACTTTCTCTGTACAAGGCTCCCTGTGCTAGGAGATTATCACAAACAGTGCATTTCCAAGAATACCACATTAGAATAAAAATGGCCGTCTGGCTTTTGTACCTGCCACCTTTATCTGAAGGGTACTTTCTACTCTTTTCGTGAGTGGTTTTGCATTTCAAGTGCTTGTTCTAATTGGCTGCAGTTTGTATTTACACAGCAGTACTTCAAATTTATTTTACTGCAGGTTGATCACAGACAGCTGCAGAGGTTCTAGGTGGGTTCCAGAAATGCTCATCCCTTTGCAGGCGCGCAGTTTAGGGGGCACAAATGTTGTATCTCCCTTGAGCACAGACAGCAGGCTCTCCACCCCTCAGAGGTTCTGAGCTGGAGCTCTCAGCTGAGCTGAGAGGTATCTGAAAGTCTGGCTCAGGAACACTTTCACAGCAAACTTCACGTGTGGTTGAGGGAAGCCCTTTCAAAGGCAGTTCAGCAACAGTTCCTATAGGCCTAGCCCTAGGCTTCCTGGTTGGTAGGACAGGGCTTTAGCCGTCAGTGAGAATGCATCATCTTTCCTCTCACTTTTGAGGTGCTGCAGCGAGATCTTTAACGTCCTCTCATTAGGCTTTGGTGCCTGATGTCACGAGGGACGTCATGATCTCCAGCAGCAGGGAACCCAAATGGATCTGGGATTTCTCTTACTTGGGTGATCCTGATGGCACTAGTTTCCTGTGGCCCATCCTATGTGATGCTTGTCCGGAATCCCCTCCCCTAAAGTTTTCCATAGTTTGATCTCCCTCACTTGGTGGGGGGCCAGAGCTCTTCCCCAGATTCTCTTGAAATCATGAGGACATCAGTGTCAGACGTGGCCTGTCCATCGGTTAACTCTTTTTCCCAACACATGACCAGACCTTTTTTTTTTCCCATCCTACATTTCTTTGATGACATCTTTTCCTCCAGTTCTTTTTGACTCCTTATTTATTCTATGTTGGCAGCTTGCTCTTGTCCCCTGCCTGATAATCATTTTGAATTTTGTAGCGATTGTAGATTGCAGTCATCACTATACCTATAGAATACTGACATTAAAAAGATGGGCCTGCCTTTGTTTCACAGAGGGGTTTGAGGTCATTTCCCTAAAGGCAGTCAGACTGCTGTCTTCCTCCTGGGCCCAAACCAAGGTATATCCAAGACGCTGAAGCATCCGGCAGTGGCAGCTGCTCCCAGGAGTTTCATGGCTTCGCTTTCTTTTGCTTCTTATGCCTGTCTGACCTTTCCTTCCCAAGAGCCTTTGCTGGACCTCGTAGTGCATGTCCCATCCTTCTGCCTGAGGGTACCCTAGGCTTTTGTCTTTGGTCTTCACTCTTAGCAATCAGCTCCTGGAGGTTCGGTTATCATCTCTTTGCAGAAGATTCTTGGCACTAAATGATCCGGGCACCATCTCTCTCGCAAACACCAGAGCCCCCTCACTAGCTGTCTGTTGGTTATCCCCACCTGGTCGTCCTGTTGACATTTCAAATTCAGTATATCTAAAACAGAACTTACTATTCTTTCCCCCAAATCCTCCCTTCTTCCTAACTTGACATTTCCTTTTGTGAAATTCAACCAGTCACGATGGTTTACAAGCTTGGAATCACCGTTGACCCATCCCTTTCCTTCAGCCCTCACCTCCTATTTGTTGCCAACTACAGTTGATTCTGTTTGGTAACGTCTCTAGCATTTCTCACCATCTTTTTACTCACAGGCAGCTACCTGGCCTAATTCAGCTCAGGACCCAAGTCTCTTCTTGACACAGCTGCCAAAATAATTTTCTTAAAGTGCAAGGCTATCTATGTTATTCTCTTGCTTAAGAAGTTCCATTAGTTTACTTCTTTTCTCTAGGATAAAATGCCCACCCCCTAAAAGCCTGCACAGTCTGACTGCGGCCTAGCTTTACACCTCTAGTACTTTTACATCGCTTTCTTTCTTGTACAGATGTGTTGTGGCCGATTGGGTCAGCTGGCTGTTCCCCATACCCCCCGTCCCATTTTTGGTCTCTGTGTCTTTGCATGGGTGGTCCATCTTGCCCCTTGCCTCTTTTTCTTAGAAGCTCTAACTTCCTTCATGTCTCAGCTCAAAAGCCACTTTCTGTAGGAAGCCTGCCCTGATCTGCCCACTTGAGTTGTAGAAGCTATTTGTGGTTAAATTCCGCTTAAGAGCACATTGAAAAATTTTTACATGTGTTTGCAGTTACAGGACATTTCTGGCCACATTTGTTTCCAACCAGCTCTCCAGAAATGCTAGTGCAGATTTGGGGTTATTTTGTCCAGATTTCTGCTGAAGTCGTAGCTTTCAGGGATTCTTCTCAGGGTTAACACAGAATTGTTCAGACACCTGGGTTTGTGGCTGTCCCTCAATAGAAGTTCTTGGTCAGGCTTACAGCTTCTCTCAGACACATGTGTGAAGAGCCAAGCTGAAGACGGAGTTATAGTTGTGTGCCCAGTGATTGCTCTTCAGTGAATGAAGAGAGCTGCACGGACCTTGTCCTTGCCAGGTGCTGGTTGATGCCTAGGCCCCCTGCTCATCACCTGGAAACCAGGCCCCTGTCCCCTTTGACTTGGAGTAGAGTGTGGGTGTTGTTGGCCTCAGCTATGAAAGAGCTTCAGCCAGTGTAGCCCAACAGCCGATCTTTCTGGTTTTATTTTTATCTCCAGAGCTCCAGTTAGGCACCGGCTGCCGTTGGTAGCCTTGTACAGAGGTTCACTTGTAACAGGAGAGGCATGGATCGGGTTATCCTGCTCACAAGTCAGCATCTTAAGTACCAAGCCAGTCTGAGGTTAAAGGAAGACTCTTTAAAAGACCTGCTCATTCACACAATTAGATCAGATACTGAGAGGATCCAATCAGCCAACAAGCCTTTATCGAGGGCCTACTGTGTGTCAGAGACTTTGCTAGGGAAACAGTTCTTACCCTCAAAGAGCTTACCTTGTGGGGGGTTGCAGGGGGCCTGAGTGAGGAGAGAAGCACGCATATGTGGAAAGAACACATGGTTCTTTGGGAGGCAGAGCACATACCATTGGTGGGATTGGGAAATCCTTTGTGTAGACAGTGATACTTTGAAGAGGGGCATTCTGAGTCAGGTGAAGTTTGAGTGCATTCCAGGGATCAGGCATAGTCAGTGCAAAGGCGTGAATATGGGAGGTGGTGTGTTGTGTGTGAAGAACAGACAGGAGTCCAGTTTAGCTGGACTGTCATGAAAGGCAGTCATAGTAAGGCGGTTTGGAGCCAGCTTGAGAAGGACTTTAAAAGCCCAACACAGAAGTCCCTAGTTCATTCTAGGGAGCCATTGGAGTTTATTGAATGGGGGTTGACCTCGTCGGATCTGTGCTTTAAGAAGATCCCTTTGGAAGCTGAGTCTCAGACTGGGGCAGTGAGAGACAGTCGGGAGCCTGGTTGGAAGGCTGTTGGCAGCAGCCCGGCTGGGAGATGATGAGAGCCTCCCCTCACATGGTGGTTTTCGGAGGTTGGAAGCACTCTGCCTTTGACCACTGTCCCCAAGCTTCCTTCCCCAGACTCCACTGTAGCCTGATTGCTGCTCCTCACATGCTTCTCCCTCATAGCAGGCCTCTTTGGGGTGCCCGATTCCTTGGAAATGTGCTTGACCTGGGAGCACACCTTGGTTCATTCTGTCTCTTTGCACCTAATGTTTGCCACCATTTCCCCCACAGTCCACCTTCCTAGACTGGCATGTCTGCCCTGCCCCCGGGAGCTCCGAGGCCTCACGGGCCGGAGGGTCACAGGTGGGGGTGGGGAGCCGCTCACAAGCCTCCACACTGCTCATTTGGTGCACTTCTCATCTGGATCTGTCCGAGAGGGTGCACTGAAGACTTTCTCTGCTTCCTTTCCTGTCGTGGGGATGCCAGTGGACACTTTAGGGGCTTCCCCTGCTCTTCTCAGTACCTGAACAGCTCTTCCTTTCTCTTCATGGTGTCCAGGTGATCTGTGACGCCCTTGATGCTCCTCCGGCTCTATTTGGGCACGCGGTGCAGATTACTTGGGCGTCTTAGATGTCTGTCTGTCTTCTGTGAATTTCATGTAGTCTTGAGTCTTCTGAGCTTTTCCATTACTTGGTTTTAAATTGTTTTTAAACCAATTTTAAAAGTGATCAGCAAGGCAAAAAACCTCTTTAGGATTCATCAAGGAAAACTTGGTGCAGTTTGCCAAATGCAGTGCGGCCTGACCATTGTCTCCTAATCCCTCCTCACCACCGGTTGGTTCGTTCACCTGCAATGCCTGTCATTGGTGTACGTGTATATGCATTTATGTTCTAGGCAGAAACATACAGACCCCACATCTGGTTCCATCTTTTCTGCCTTCATTGTATGTTACTTCCTGTCCTATGCTCTGTGATCCAGCCAGACTAGCCTTCTCCTTCTTTCCACATAACCCATCGTCTCCCATACCTAGAACATGCTTCTTCCTTTCCTCTGCATTGTGGGATCTCTCTCTTCTTTCAGGTAAACAGCTCAAGATGACCGCTGCCCCACAACTGCTAGTGACTGCTGTAATTAGCTGCCTTGTGTTGATTTATATTTATTCTGTATGTAATTGTTTGTTATACATGTAATTGTTTCCAGTGAGAACAGGAATTGTTTTACTCGTGTTTTGTATCCCCAGGGACTATTGTAATGTCCGGCACATACTATGTGCTTAATAAGTACTTGTAAATTGATGTGTACATATATACACACACATACGCATGTGTATGTGTGTGTTCATTCTGGTCTTCTTGATTCATGGAATCCATCTTGGACATTGCAGTCTTGAAATTCACTTTCCTTAGGTCACTCCTTTATTCAGTAGCCCTTTAGCGGTTTTCTACTGTGACAAAGTATA